CCGGAAGTGGCGCTGTGGCTCAAGTGGTAGAGCGCTAGCCTTGAGCTGAAGAGCTGAGGAACAGTGCCCAGGCCCAGAGTTCAGGCCCCATGACCGGACCCCCCCCCAAAAAAAAAGAGCCAAAGTGGCTCTGTGGCTCAAGTGGTAGAGTGCTAGCTAGCCTTGAGCTGAAGAACTGAGGGACAGCACCCAGGCCCAGAGTTCAAGCCCCACAACCGGATCCCCATCCCCCCCCAAAAAAATAGATGTTACAACTCTTGTCTCATTCTACCATATATTTTTACCAAGTTTATTAAAATAAATAAATAAAAGCTGAGTGCCAGTGGCTCATGCCTGTAATCCTGGCTACTCAGAAGGCTGAGATCTGAGGATCCTGGTTTAAAGAAAAATCTAAGACTCTTATCTCCAATTAATCAGCAAAAATCAGAAGTGGAGGTGTGGCTCAATTAGTTGAGCACCAGCCTTGAGTAAAAAGCTAAGCAAGAGCATGAGATCCTGCTGGGTGCTGGTGGCTCATACCTGATCCTAGCTACTGAGGCTGAGTTCTGAGAATCATGATTCAAAAACAGCCTGGGCAGGAAAGTTCATGAGACTCTTATCTCCAATTAACTACCCAAAAGCCAGAAGTGGAGCTGTGGCTCAAAGTGGTAGAGAGCTAGCCTTGAGCAGAAAAGTTTAGGGATGTTGCTAGGCCCTGAGTTCAATTTCCATGACAAGAAAGAAAGAAACAAGGAGAGAAACAAAGAAAGAAGGAAACACAGACAATACCAAACAAACAAACAAACAAAAACAATAAAAGGCCAGACTGTCTGAAACATGGATATTTTTTATCAAAGCAGTTTATATCCTTATGGTATAATCAGGTTTTAGTGTTTCTTTCTTCTTTTTGTTGTTGTTGTTGGTTGTGGGTCTTGAACTCTGGGCCTAGATGCTGTCCCTCAGCTCTTCAGGTCAAGGTGAGCACTCTACTACTTGAGCCACAGCACCACTTCCTGTTTCTGAGTGGTTTATTAGAGATAAGAGTCTCACGGCTGACTTTGAACTGTGATCCTCAGATCTCAGCCTCCCGAGTAGCTAGGATTACAGGCCCGAGACACCAGCACCTGGCTTTTTTGTTTTATTTTGTTTTGTCAGTCACAGGGGTTGAACCCAGGGCCTGAATGCTGTCTTTGAACTTGTGTGCTCAAGGCTAGTGCTCTACCACTTGAGCCACAGCTCCACTTCCAGCTATTTTTGGTGCTTAATTGGAGTAATAGTGTCACAGACTTTCCTGCCCAGAGTGGCTTTAAACTTTGATCCTCAGATCTCAGTCTGAGTAGCTAGGATTAGAGGCAAGAGCTACCAGTGCCCGGCTAATGTTTTCTGTTCTTTTATATTTGATTACTAATATTCTACCTAAATTTGCATCCCTTCGTATAGGAGGGCATTTTGTTATTATATCACATTCATGCTCCAGGTATCCCTTGGCATTCAAAGCATAAAGCATGATACTAATTTCTTTTTTTGGGGGGGGGGTCCATTTGTGGGGCCTGAACTCTGGGCCTGGGCCTGGGCACTGTCCCTCAGCTCTTCAGCTCAAGCCTTCTACCACTTTAGCCACAGTGGCTTTTTTCTTTTTGCTTATGTGGTGCTGAGGAATCGAACCCAGGGCCGCATGCTCTACCACTGAGTCACCTTCCCAGCCCCCATGATACTAATTTCATCTCTAGATTTTTTTTCCCTTTCTTTTTTGGGAGGGTGATGGTAAAAATTAGGGTAGTTAACAAAAGAAAAAAGAAACATGACTGGGAATGTGCTTTAGTGATAGAGTGCTAGCCTAGCATGAATGAATCCCTGGGTTCGATTCCTCAGTACCACATACACAGAAACAGTCAGAAGTATTGCTGTGGCTCAAGTGGTAGAGTGCTAGCCTTGAGCAAAAGAAGCTTAGGGACAATACCCGGACCCTGAATTCAAGCTCCAGGACTGGTAAAAACAAAAACAAAAAATAAACAAAATCTTGATTAATGTGGAATATGCTTCTTACGAGTGGTGGAACCCTATTCTGCCATAAGAAAAAATAAATCACTTGAGATTTCTATTGAATTGCTAGATCTACAGTGATAATCAAAGCCTACCAGTCAGGTGCTAGTGACTCATGCCTGTAATCCTAGCTATTCAGGAGGCTGAGTTCTGTTGACAGAGGTTCAAGACAACCCAGGCAGAAAAGTTTGATAAGTTTTTGTTTTTTTGGTCAGTCGTGGGGCTTGAACTCAGGCCTGGGTGATGTCCCTGAGCTTTTTGCTCAAGGCTAGTGCTCTACCTCTTTGAACCATAGTGCCACTTCTGGTTTCCTGGTAGTTAATTGGAGATAAGAGTCTCACAGAATTTCCTGCCAGGGGCTGGCTTTAAACTGAGATCCTCAGATCTTGGTCTACTGAGTAGCTAGGATTACAACTGTGAGCCACTGGTACCCAGCCTTAACAAAGTCTTTTACTCCAATTAATCAGCAACAAAGCTGCAAGTCAGGAAGTGGAGCTGTGGTTCAAGTGGTTGAGTGCCAACCTTGAGTAAAAAGGCTGAACAAGAGCACAAGGTCCTCCGTTCAGGCCCTAGTACTGGCACAAAACAAAACAACAACAAAAAAACCCACAAAAAACTCCTATGAGGTTTGTGCCAGTTTGTTCTCACCTCTCTCATATGAGTGCACCTTTTACTTACCTTATAATCAAGACGACGGTGACCTACATTCTAATCGTGCTTCCTGAGTTCACAATATACAGATTACTTAATAAGATATGACCTTACTCATCTTTCAGGAGTTACTATTACTTCTCTCTACTTGAGCAAACAGAGCTGCTTCTCCCAAGCATGTGACTCTAGTCCTGGGGTGGTGATGACAATTCATGATACCAGCAGCAAAAAGAGAATCAGCAAATCCAGACGCCCCGAGCCATGTGCTCTGCTCTCCAAGTGGAGACAGGGAACCCCTCCACCCCTTCGCCATGGTAAGAGAATGTCCCTTCGATTCTCTCCCCTCCCTTCCCCCTCGCCTCCCCTTTTTTTTTGGGGGGGGTCCGGTCGTGGGACTTGAACTCTGGGCCTTGGTGCTGTCCCTCAGCTCTTCAGCTCAAGGCTAGCACTCTGCCACTTGAGCCACAGCGCCACTTCCGGCTTTTTTTTTCCTGCTTATGTGGTGCTGAGGAATCGAACCCAGGGCCTCATGAATGCAAGGCAAGCGCTCGACCACTGAGCCACCTTTCCAGCCCTTCCTTTCTTTTTTCTTAGCTCTGTCTCCTAAGTAGCTAGGATTATAAGCATGAGCCACCATGCCGGGAATGAAGATAGAATATTTCTTTTTTCTTTTCTTTTTTTTGGGGGGGTCTGGTCGTGGGGTTTGAACTCTGGGCCTGGGCACTGTCCCTCAGCTCTTCAGCTCAAGGCTAGCACTCTACCACTTGAGCCACAATGCCACTTCCGGCTTTTTTCTTTTTACTTATGTGGTGCTGAGGAATCTAACCCAAGGCCTCAGGCATGCAAGGCAAGTGCTTTACCACTGAGCCAACTTCCCAGCTCCGAAGATAGAATATTTCTATAATCAGAAGGCTGAGATCTGAGGATCACAGTTCAAAGCCAGCCTGAGCCGGAGAGACCATGAGACTCCTATCTCCAATTAACCACCAGAAAACCGGAAGTGGCGCTGTAGCTCAAGTGGTAGAGCACTAGCCTTGAGCTGAAGAGCTGAGGGACAGCACCCAGGCCCAGAGTTCA